AGAAGAGTCACCACGTAGGAGCTACCTCTACGGAAACCATGCTGGACATCAGAAAGTAGATGATTATGTTCTAGAAACTGCATTAGTTGTTGCTTACTTATTTTTTCCAGAGTTCTTCAGCAAATTGCAACAAGGCTGAGCCATCGATAATTGTTTACGGAGATCCGGCTTCCACCCTTAGAGAGCAACATAATTCACCCGGATTTCCAATCGGCTGGTAGGCATTCGGTCTCGAAGGATGTGTAGAAAAGCGTAGAAAGTGGTTTTTGCGAACTCACTGGCGAGCTCTTTCAACATCTTGCCCGGAATTTCATCGGGACCCGGGGACTTAGATTCATTTAACCCTAACAGTTACGAATAACTGAACACAGTCTCGACTATTTTATCCACTTCGGTGACATTAGCAGGATAATTTTATCCCCTTTCCTTTGCGAAAACTGACAGGAAAAAATTCTGAAGGATGATCAGCTTCCGCCTCGTCTTCAGTAAAGTCTATACCCTCGGCGGTCTTCAGCGGGGGATATCTGCTTTTGTTTCGTGTATTCTGCCCGAGGTAACTGTGAAACAGTTCGGGGTTCACGATGGCACGGTTCAGCAGTTCCACTTCGAAATCCTGTCTTGTTCTAAGAATAAAGCTCTTGACCCGATTTCTCTGAGTTTTTTACGGACTTAGAAATCCAGGAGTCCGATCCGTAAGCGATTTTTCCACAGCATGCGCTTTTTTAACTTCTATTTTTAAGGCCTGCGTAAGCCATGGAGGTCTGTTGGTCAATCTTTTCCTCGAAAGCGGACAGTAGTTTTCGATGAGCCTGTGCAATATGTCCCGGAACGTTTCCCAGTCCTCGGTTATGTTTCCAAAAAATAAAGATTCCTACTCAGTGCGTGTGAGTTCGGTCATCATTTGATCGAAATCGTCTCTCCAAATATTTCTTCTGACTTTTGTGGGTCTCTAAGATACTGAAAATAGTGAGTACTCTCAAAGCAGTACAGCTTGGCCACTTTTACCTAGGGACACTTAATCTATGCTGTCCTGCGATTTCGTGAGAACTAAGTCCAGGTAACTGACCTGTTGGCCTACGCACACCCTTGTTGGAAACGTGACGTGTTTTATGAGAAATAACTGTAGCGTCATATGCAGAAGGCAACCGTCAAAGGCCAGATCAGAGCCATATGCTTAGACCGAGCTCCAGCCGATGAGAGACGCGTTTAAGCCACGCATGATCAGGATATCAACCGTGTAGCAATCTTTTCAAGCTCCTCTAGCAAAGAAGAATCAACTACGGGGCCTCTTTTCGGTGTTCGGTAGTGTGTCAGGACATCGAGACTTGATGAACCTGTCACTTCGATGGATAGCCAGATCGCCTCAGAAGTACGCGCCAGTTTATCCGTTTTGTCTAAAACGACAAGTCCACTTTTCACGTATGTGAGTACGCCTCCTTCCCTGTCTTTTCTAAA